AGGACTTTATGTTTGATTTGTTTTCAAGACAGGGTTTCTTTTGTGCAGCCTTGGCTATCCTGAAACCCACTCTGTAGACCAGGATGGCTTCAAGCTCATAGAGATCCACCTGTCTCTGCCTCCCTAGTGCTGGGATTAAGGGCATGCACTGCCACCACCCAGCTTGGAAAGGACTTTCTGAATAGGACTCCATTTGCCCAAGAGTTAAGGCCAACAATTTTGTCATGAAATTAAAAGGCTTCTGCACAGCTAAAGAAACAATTAATCGGGTGGAATGTAAGGCCACAGGATGGGAGAGAATCTTTGTCAGCTACACATTTGACAGAGGATTAATATCCAGAAAATAAGAACTCAAAAAACAAAGAGTCAAAAACAAACAAGCAAACAAATGACCCATTCGAAAAATGGTCCTGGGGCCTGAACAGAGAGTTCTTAAAAGAAGAAAAAAAAATGGATAAGGAATATCTAAAACATTATTCATCATCTCTAGCAATTAGGGAAATTTAGATTAAAGCAACTTTGATATTTCAGCTTACTCGAGCCAGCATGGCAAGGACCAACACAACCACTGACAACAATGCTGGAGGGGCTGGGGAGAAGGAAATCCACGTTCATTGTTGGTGGGATCGCACACTGGTGCAGCCACTGTGGAAATCAGTGGGGAGAATCCTCACAGAGCTAAAAATAATTCTACTGCATGATCTAGCTATATCATTCTTTGGCATATGCCCAAAGTACTTGGCATCCTACTCCATAGACATTTACTCAGCTGTGTTCATTGCTGCTCTATTCATAGAAGCCAGGAAATGGAAACTACCTAAACGCCCTTCAATAATAAACAATGTGGTACGTATATAGTATAAAATACTACTTAGCTGCAAAGAAAAATGAAATCATGAACTTTGCAATTAAATGGCTGGAACTAGAAAAGATCATATTGAGTGAGGTAAGCCCGACCCAGTAAGACAAACATCAAATGTTCTCTTTCATCTAAGGCTTCTAGCTCACCATCTTCAGATGTGAGTACATATCCTGTAGTAACGGAAGAAACCAGGAAAGTTGAAACAAACAAGGAGAGCAGGCAATAAGGAGGGGAATAGCAGAGCACAAGTGGTCTGATTGAGCAAAAGGGAAAAACGGAGGTTGTCTAATTAGGAAAGGGGTGGAGATAAATACAGGAGAGAGGGTAAGATGACAGTAAAGATGTCTGAAAAAGTCATGAGAAATTATACCATTAACTATCTACTGGAAAACCTACCATACACTTAAGTCTATAATATAAATATATAGTTCAAATGAAAAGTGCCCGTCTGGGCTGACAGTGCTCCCTCCAAGAGCTGAAGACCATTGTAGTGACTGGTTTTGTGTGTCAACTTCACACAAGCTGGAGTCATCAGAGGAAGGAGCCTTAGCTGAGGAAATACCTCTTTGAGATCCAGCTCTAAAGCATTTTCTCAATTAGTGATCAATGAGGGAGGGCCCAGCCCATGGTGGGTGGGGCCATCCCTGGGCTGCTGGTCCTGGGTTCTATAAGAAAGCAGGCTGACTTCTTACTGAACGGGGCCACCATGGTGTTCAGGCGCTTTGTGGAGATTGGCCAGGTGACCTACGTCTCCTTTGGGCCTCACGCTGGAAAGCTGGAGGTGATTGTAGATGTTATTGATCAGAACAGGGCTTTAGTGAATGGACCTTGCACTCGGGTGAGGAGGCAGGCCACGCCTTTCAAGTTCATACAGTTCACAGACTTCATCCTCAAGTTCCCACACAGTGCCTACCAGAAAAGCTTAGAAGGCAGTTATCAATACGAAGGGGCAGCCACAAGATGGGCCAAGAAGATTGATGCCAGAGGAAGGAAAGCCAAGATGATAGGTTTTGATCATTTCAAAGTCATGAAGGCAAAGAAAATGAGGAACAGAATACTCAAGACTGAAGTGAAGAAACTTCAAAGAGCTGCTATCTTGAAAGCTTCTCCTGAAAAAGCGCCTGTTGCTAAGGCGGCCATTGCTGCGGCAGCAGTAGCTCTGTTAAGCTGAAGTTCCGGCCGAGAAGGCGACAGGACCAGGCAAGACCGCTGCGGTCCAGAAGGCAGCTCCTCCTGTTAAAGGTCAGAAGGGTCAGAAGGCCCCAGCCCAGAAAGCACCTGCTTCAAAGGCAGCTGGCAAGAAAGCATGAGGCTGTACAAAGGAAAAAAGGCTCTTTTTGTCATGTTGGCAAAAAAGAAAAGAAAGGCTGAGCAAGCCATGGGAAGCAAGCCAGTAAGCAGCACCCCTCCATGCCTCCAGGATCCTGCCCCTGTTTGAGTGATGAACAACAATGATGAAGTGTAAATCAAATAAACCCTTTCCTCCCCAACTTGTTTTTTGGTATAAGAAGCTCTCTTTTGAGTTGTTGGTCAGAGTTGTCTAAGAGACTCCCCAAACATCCTAGGCTATGGCTACTGCCTTTGGTTGACCCTAGAGGTGAAAGGCTGAGGTCCCTATTGCTAAAGACACCATGTACCAGGGCCCCTGAACTGGAACTGGTTTCAAAGCCGCCTTCCTGAGGACCAGAAGGCACCATGAAGCTTCCAAAGGAGGGCAGCAACCAACAGTCCTTCCCAACTATGATGCCTATGAACCACAACAGCAACCAGCCATCAGTACAGTAGTGGCACACACACCTTGGCAGCTACCAACTGCTCTCTACTTGGGCTTAAAACCAGCTCAACAGGAGGGAAATCATAGCTGGCACTGGAAACCCAGTCAACCACCCAGGGCTAGTGAAGTTGTGGATATTGGAGGAGAATCGAGTTCTGCTACTTTACTAAAATACATTCTAAATATTTGTCCTTTGACCCACACAGAAGTGTAGTCCTAACCCTTCATTAAGGAAGCTTCTCTTTGCAACGGACAGAGACCATTCCAGGAGATCACAACCAATCAAATCACAGAGCTGTGGGGCCCAGTCCTAACTCATACATCTACAAAACACTCCTGTACCTAAAACTCAGGGATCATTTTTGGAAGAGGAAGTAGAAAGATTGTAGGAGCCAGAGAATCAGGGAGCTTTCTGTGAGATAGTGGCTGGGAAAGCCAGGACGCCTCAACCCTACAGAAACACTACAGGCAACCAAGGAATGCTATATATCTATACATAGTCTCGTGGTAGTTTTTTTGAAACCTCAAGAAAAAGGGATTCACCCAAATGTTTACATACTAGAGGCAAAATCTGACAGAATTTCTTGGGCTTGGCTTCCTTATCTCATTAGGACAGCAAACAGCTTTTTAAAGTACAGTCCAAGGTTTCTTATGATAACATCTAGACAGAAACAAATTTGGATTTGTTTGATATTATATGGCTCAATTTTGCAATGCAAACTGAAAGGGGTTGTTGCTTGAGTTTTCCTGCCTGGCCCACAGTCAGGACAAATCTCTCTCACCCGCCAGTCCCACAGCCACTCAGACCCGACCAAGTAAACACAGAGACTTATATTGGTTACAAACTGTATGGCCGTGGCAGGCTTCTTGCTAACTGTTCTTATAGCTTAAATTCATCCATTTCCATTCATCTATACCTTGCCACATGGCTCGTGGCTTACCGGCATCTTCACATGCTGTTTCTCATCATGGCGGCTGGCAGTGTCTCTCTGACTCAGCCTTCTACTTCCCAGCTCTATTCTCCTCCTTGTTCTGCCTATACTTCCTGCCTGGCCACTGCCAATCAGTGATTTATTCATTGACCAATCAGCAACACATTTGACATACAGACCATCCCACAGCAAGGGGTTCCTATGGTAAAGAAGAGTCTTTGATGAACTTAAGGAAATTGCTGGCTTAAATCCCTATTCACCAGCACTATTGACAACCATTCAGCGTACGGAGGAAATAGAGGCAGAGGATGTGACACCTTCAGACGTCAGCGTGAACTCAGTGAGTGAGTGAGCTGCAGTGTCTTGCTCATTTCAAGGATGAAGGACAAGGGGAGATGTTCTGGGGCTGAGTACATCAAACTGTCCAGGACGACGACAAGGCATGGATTGAGGCATCTGGGCATCAAGGGATTTCAGATCCTGGACTGGAAAATGTTTTTCTTGGCCTTGGGAGATGAGTCAGCTGCAGCGGTGCATGAGCAGGAGGCCCCGAGTTTGGTACCCAGGATACACATAAAGCCCAGGCGCGGGAGTGGGTACATAACCTTGGCACTGGGGGACGGTTTAGACACGTGGATTTCTAGAACTCTTGAGCCAGTCTAGCCAACTGGTAAGCTCCAGGTTCAATGGGAGACCCAGTTTCAAAAACTAGGTGAAGATGGGCAAAGGAGAGCACTGGACCTTGCCCTCTGGCCTCCACAGGCACCTGCACACACACCTTGTCATACAGGACCACCGTCTAAATGAAACTGACACCATCTTAGGAAGTCTGCTGGGTGGGCAAAACGTCCTCATAGCTAGGCAGTTGACTGCTTCCCTTTCCTCACAGGAGGAGGTGTGGGCGGGTAAGAGGTCACTCACCTGAGTAGCCAGCCACCCCTCCCAATCAGCTGAATGCAAATCTGCCCTAACTGCGCATGCCTTGGGGTTTTGGAGAGGACTGGAGGATATAGGTGGGAAGGACTAGAGGACGTGGCTCCATCTACATAGCTATGGAAAAGCCGTCATCCCCTCTGGTAAGGGTTTTCCAGTACAACCTTTCCAGGCTGAGAAGAGCATCCACCCCTGTAAGTATCCCCTCACATGTGCTCTGTAAGGAAGCCAAATAAACTCTTTAGTTCTCCAGAGTAAATTCTGGTGGAATCATTCTTTGGTTTGTCATTGGGACCTTAGGAGAAGGGGCAGACATTCTCCCTCAGGGAAGGAATTTCAGCAACACACATGCACTGTACATACATACATATCTTCACAATCAGTCCGTCACTCAATCAATAGGAAATGTATTTGGAAGGTCTGAAACTTCCTCCAGGGGCATATCCTGGGCATAACCAAAGACAGCAAACACAAACAGCCTCAACACATACTTCCTTACCCTTTAGTAGCCCAGGACTGGCTCCAAGGTCAGAGTTGGCCCACAGAAAGGACAGGCTGGTAGCAGCTGCAGAGGATTTGCAGTTAAGGCCTCTTCCTCCACGGGGAGGCTCCCCTCCCAGAAGTGTGAGGAGAGAGGCTTGTTCGAGCCCTTTCTGCTTTGGGCCCCTGCTGATTTCTGCAATTACAGGAGCTCAGAATGCTATTCCTATTTTTGGTGTTTTGAGTAACCTCCATACTGAGTCATATGGTCTGCTAAATCACTCTGGATATGTTCCAGAAAGAATCAAAGTCGTCATATGCTAGAGATGCCTGCACACCCACATGGATTGTGGCACTAGTCATAGTAGTCACATGACTCCAAGCTGTTCACATGGAATCAGCCACGTGGAATTCCATACGGAATGGGATAAACTCCCAGCAGTGGATGACTGGCTGAACTAGCACACACCTACACCTAAACACACACACACACACACACACACACACACACACACACACACACACACTACTCTGCCGTAAAGAGGAATGAAACCGTGTTGTTTTCAGGAAAGTGGGTGGCACTGGAGACCACCATGTTGGAAAATGAGACAGACTCAGGAAGACAATTGTCACATGATGCAGAATCTAGATTTTAAACAGAAGACATGAGAGTGTGAAGCAGATTGTTTGGGAAGCGAAAGAGAGCCAGGGGATGAGGCAAGAGGCATAGGAAAGGGTAATTGAGCAAGAATATGATCAAAGTATGTTTCACACATGTAGAAAATGTCAAAATGAAACTCATTATTTTATACAATTAATATGTGCTAATAAAAAGACTGAAACTTAGCCTTGCCTTCTTACCACATTCCATCTGTTTCCTACATGTCACTGGGACCCACAGGGTGCTGTGTGCAGAGCACTGTTACATTATTTGGGCAGAAGACTGCACTGTACTTCAAGTGCTACATTCTAGGTTTCAATTTTTATTCTTATTATGACTTTATTAATAGGGGTGAATAAATTTATTAAGTTAGTTTGTTTATAAAATGAATGTTGTTGTGTGCATTTATGAGAGAGGGAAAGAGAGGAAGGAAGGGAGGGAGGGAAGAGAGACAGAAAAACATGCTTGTCTGGTTGCTTCCCTGTTGGCGTTTTTATTTTGTTTTGGGGTGCACACATGCGCACTTATTGTGGTCAAATAACAGATGTTTTATGCACCCTGAGAACAATTATGTCGTGACTGAGCGGTCCATTAGACCCTGGTCCTCCTTCTTCAGAAGATGAGTGTTTTCACTTTCCTTCTATGAGACATGTCTTATGTCTTCCTTTTCCATCAGGAGCCAAAGGGCTTTGTCAAATGTGATCTCTGGTGAGAATTAATCAAAGATTACAAACAGAAACAAGCCAGCAGGAGAAGCCATATATTCCCCTCAGCCCCGAGAAAGATAGAGAAGAAAGACAGCATAGAAGAGTTCTACTTATTAAACCACCCATGGCTTGCTGTTTTGAATGACTTGAATCTGGCCTCACACCCCTTAAATTTAATTTTATAAAATATGGAGCATTTCTAGGACTGCCACAGTCTTTTGGGGTAAGTTTGACCTGTTTTGAAGTGCTGTGCTGTTATTTCTTTACTTGGAGATAAATCCCTCTGTGGTGGTTTGAATGAGAAGGGCCCCCATAGGCTCTTATGTTTGAATGCTTGGTTCCCAGTTGGTGGAAATATTTGGGAAGAATTAGGAGGTGTGGCCTTGTTGGAGGAGGTGGGCTTAGAGGATTCAAAAGCCCACACCATTCCAGTTTGTTTTCTCTATCTATCTATCTATCGATCGATCTATCTATCTATCTATCTATCTATCTATCTATCTATCTATCTCTATCTCTATCTCGCTTACTGCATGTTTGTTTTCTCTATCTATCTATCTATCTATCGATCTATCTATCTATCTATCTATCTATCTATCTATCTATCTATCTCTATCTCTATCTCGCTTACTGCATGCCTGTGGGTAGAATGTAAGATTCTCAGCTACTGCTCCAGTGCCACACCTGCCAGCTCCTCACCATGATGGTCATGGACTAACCCTCTGAAACTCTAAATTAAATGCTTTCTTTTATAATAGTTGTCTTGGTCATGGTGTCTCAATACAACAGTGACCAAGACACCCTCCAAATTATCAAATCACCTAGCTCTTGAGATAAACAATAAGTATTTTAAAAGTCCCAGCCAACGAAACAGAACCACATGAACAAGTCACAGGAATGATATGAACAGAACTACATCTTCAACAGGTGAGCCATGAGGAGAACACAGCTTCATGTGAAAAGGAGCCACAGTTTTAACACAGCCCACTGTGGCCTGAAGGTCCTGATCAACTCTGGGGAAATTGAAAGGAGACCATCAGCCCGGGAGCTACTGCGTCCGCTAAGATAATCTTATTTGCAACATCTAGAGACTTAACTCAAGAGACTTACTTAAAATGACCTCGCACCGAAAAGCATTTTCTTATAAAACAAGAATTCTAGGCTATGGGACGGTTTGATATCTGGATCAGTGGTGCAATAATTATCTGGGTTTCTTCCATCCATCCTTCATGTCTCTTTTTTCATTTGGCTATTTTACTCATGGTTGTAATATAGATGTCAACAGCAACAAATTTCCTCGTTCATGTTTAGTAGAAAAGACTCCGGTGTATTGAAGATGGTCCCTTCCTTGTCCTAACCAATTAGCTTTTCCAGGGGATAAAGTGCCCTGGACTAACGAGAATCTCTCCAGGATCCAGAGTAGCACACATGTGAAACCAGTTCTGTTCTGATCAGGATGGAGGCAATCAGGGTGAAACAGTCACTAATGGCCCCATTTCCGGCACAAAGCCTTGCCTGTGGCTGAATATGTAACATGCTTTGGCCACTCCTTCCAAAACCCCTCCTGGATCCTGAGGTCACTAAGCCACAATCCGGTTTTGGAAGCAGAGCTGAATTTGTAGTGGCCATGAGCCAGATGCTCTTTCCACCACGAGATGCTAAAATCATGGCTACCATCGCATGGTAGAGAGGGAAGGGTTAAGGAAGGGAAGGAGGACAAGCTGGCTCTTCCTAAAGCAGCTTCTCAGTTACGGAGGACTCCCTGTGGGAAAGCTCAGCCTTGTCTCCCTCTGCTGGAATCACAGTGAAATCACATAAGCACCCTCAATCACTCACAGGCCTGCCTTTAAAGTCTACCCATGGGCTCCATGGGTTAAAGTGTAACTTCACCCAAAGTCTCCAGCTTCTTGGCAATGGAACCTGAGGTATTTAGCAGAACTCTAGATGCCTGAGACCATCGGGGGACCATCTGTGGGGAGCACTGTGTGGAAGAGATGTGTGACGAAGATCTACGTGACAAGCTGTCTGAGGATGAGATACAAAGGGACTCCTTCCCTTGTGCTCCGGAACAGTCAGTGGGCTGGTTCTGAACAATGATAGCTGGCAGCTGAGTAGTTCTCGGCATTTACTTAACAGTTTCACGTCCTGGACTCAGAACAGGCGCAGGAGGCCCCAGCATGCAAAGCTGTATGGCCAGACCACACAGCTCAAGGCTCCATCCCCACAGGAAATGGTATCTGTAAGGTCTCGTCATGTGGCCACTGGCCCCTAAAAGCTTACAATTGCTCTGGGGACTCTCTCCAGAAAAAGCTCTCCTGGCCTTCCCACCCTCCGCCCCAGCCTTCTCACTGAGGCCATCTCTCCAGTTACATCCTTTTCACTAAGTAAATAAAAAATGAGAAAATTTGTTTTCACTTCACGCTTTGCTTCCTTACGTGCAGTGAGCACAGAGGCCGGAAGAGGGCGCTGACTGAGTCTCCTACCGAAGGCCCTCCTTCCCAAGCTGTCATGTCTGCTGCTCACGTACATGGACCATTTTCCGTCCAAGGTTCTCTTTCCCACCCTGAGGCCTGATCATGGTCTCAAGGCCACTTTTCCTAAAGTGACTTTTCTGAAGGGAATGACTCATGCGTCAGCTTTCCTTTCCTTTCCTGGCCTCCGCTGCTCTTCTCCTTTGTCTTAAAGAGAGACCGGAGGCCGGCTGGCCTTCCTCCAGGGGGGCTGCAGCATGGTCACTGCCCTAGCCACAGGGGCTCCATCAGCCCCAGAGATGGGATTTCCAGCCTTCAGACTCGAGATGTCAGTGTGTGTGTGTGTGTGAAGACACCACGCCTGTGCATTTTGTCACAGCAGTCGGAAGTCCTGAGACGGCTGCGCTGCAGTGGCTCCAGGGAAAACCGTCAGTGTGTGATTTCATCACAGACACCACCCACCACAGACCAGTTACGTGCTTTTAGGCTGACGTGGTTCTCTACACGTTGTTTCCCTTGGGGAGGCTCTACTCGGTGCTATACGGGAAAGGTCTATGAACAGTTTCCTCTGTTATAAAATGGAGAAGCACCAACTCACCAGGAGTAGTCCTCACCCGTGAACTGCACCTCAAACCACGCCTGTTTTCTTTATTGGATTGCAACTGATATTTACGAACTGTTAAAAATTGTTGGGGGAGGTATTGTTTTTTGCTTTATGCTAACCAATTCTCTCGCTGCCTTTGGCTCAACCCTGTATCTACCCCGAGCAGGCTCAAGTTGTGTGTGTGTTGTAGAGGGCAAGAGGTCCTTGTACACACAGAAAAAAACAGGAAAAGTTGAACATGCAGGCTTGTCTCTTCAAAGGGAGGACATGCTTACCTGTCCGCCTGGGATGCTAGGAAAGCATGTGGTTTACAACCTGGTGACCCTTTGCTGTCTGTAGGGCCAGGCTTCCCCCCAGTCCTCCAGAATATTATGTTTGTTCATCCCAGACTTTCCCCACCTAGATCTTGAGCAGTGCTCTCAGCCCATAAACCCACCCTTATGAGAGATGGAACTTGTCCTTCACAACAGCCTAAGTGACTTCTATGTTGTCTTAGGGCCGGGCCAACCCTGACTCCCATGGGCATTATGTTTACCTCAGTCCTTCTCGCTAGACCTTTATCTTTATGAAACAAGCCATATGTACTTTGTAAAGAGCTTCAATGTTAGCATGTTGTAAGCTTTGTTGTACACACGGGACTGAGGTAATTGTCATCAGAAAACTATTTTTCCAAATTTGTGCTGGGCTTAAATATGGCTAAAATAAACCATCTGAGCCAGGCATGGCGGCTCATGCCTTTAATCATAGCATTTGGGAGGCAGAGGCAGGCAGACGTCTGTGAG